CATCCATCCGTCACCCATCCATCCATCTATCATCCATCCATCCATCATCCATCCATCTATCCAGCCGTCATCCATCCATCCATCCATCATCCATCCATCATCCATCCGTCACCCATCCATCCATCTATCATCCATCCATCCATCATCCATCCATCTATCCAGCCGTCATCCATCCATCCATCCATCATCCATCCATCATCCATCCGTCACCCATCCATCCATCCATCATCCATCCATCCATCTGTCATCCATCCGTCACCCATCCAACCATTGATCCATCCATCCATCATCCATCCATCCATCACCCATCCATCCGTCACCCATCCATCCATCATCCATCTGTCACCCATCCATCCATCCATCCATCCAAACACAGGAACACACCCTCTCCCTCAGAATGACCACTAGTTTCTGGATTTATAAAACCATCCACCATCCAAAGGCTCCATGTTAGGATTTTTGCTTATTCTATTTGTCATTTATGTAAGGTTACCTGGATATTAACTGGTAGATCCTCATAAAGGATCCTAGCAGTGCTTCTTCTGTTGCCCTGATGCAGCCAAAGCTCCTTTTTCTGCAAACTTCCTCCCCATCAATGGCCTTAAGGTTTCACAGCTTTATGTGAGTTCATGTCACATTGTGTTTGAGGAAATGCTCTCACTTAAAGACCGGACAGAGCAACAGGCAGAGAGAGGATCTGCTGCTGTTTCTTGTTGTTTAAATGACCTGTTTACCATCCTACTAAGTTTCGTCCCTAAAGAGGATGGTTCCTCAAGCTTCCTTATATTTTTATATAATCGACCCATTCTGTAATGAACTGATATATTTTCTTTGACCACCGGGTGTTTTTCTAACGTTTCTGTTTTAAAAACGTTAGAGCAAACATCCTCCATATAGGAATGGTCCAATAAGAGGTATAGTTCTGCTTTGTTAAAACCCAATTTGTTTTTAGGTCAGGCAGTTTTTGTTTGTGTTGGTCCTGTGATAGACTTGCAACCTCTCTAGGGTGTGCTTTGCCTTTAGCTCGTTGTTTGCTGAACAAAGAGTAAAATCTCTGAATCACACGGTAAGGTGGTCATAAACAGTGTACTTTACCCATGGTAGGAGCTCAGGAGTACAGAAAACTGATAAAGGGGAAACAATAAACTTAGAGCAGAAACTGCAGCTTTACGTTCACCAGCTGTCTTGTTTATGCTAGAGGGATTTCTGGTACGTTTTCTCATACGAATGTTGGATTTCAGAAGGCCAGTGGTCTGCAGAGGGAGCCTCTACACTGCCAGCATGGCAGAACAAATAAAAGGACAGGAGCTTGTAGAGTCGGACATTAGCGCCATTCCGGCCTTAAGAGACGCTATGAAAACAGCACTGGAGACCAGAGGCCCGTCCCTTAGGACCCACTGTTCTGCATTTTTTGGATATTTCATTTCCTCCTCATCTTACTTTCAACTTCTGCTGATATCTTTGTCTGTCAGATGTGAGGCTACAAGAAAACTGTTTAAAACATGGCCACAAACACACATTCATCTATTGACTGCCATTGATTTTTTTGTCATTTTCCACCCTGTGATGTCTGACCCACTGTCGTATTTATGGGGAATTCGTGTGTGCTACCTTTCACATGAATTGATGGATTTACTGTCTAGTTATTAATTGACTGGTAATCAGAGTTGCTTGTTTCTGTTTTTTGGCAGAACGTCTTGGCCAAAGCATTGTATGACAATGTGGCCGAGTCTCCAGACGAGCTTTCCTTCCGTAAGGGCGACATCATGACGGTTTTGGAGCGGGACACGCAGGGGTTGGACGGATGGTGGCTCTGCTCTCTTCACGGCCGCCAAGGCATCGTTCCAGGGAATCGTCTGAAGATCCTGGTCGGCATGTATGACAGTAAGCAGCAGCAGGTCACAGCTACAACACCAGATCCAGCATCTTCCTGTTCAACCCCCCAGTTGCAGCGACCCCACCTTCCTCAGAGCGCCTATGCCCAATCTACGCCCGCCATCTCTACTCCATCTGCACCAGTGTACCCAACCAAGCCCCTTTCCGCAGCTCATTATACACCCATGCACCCCCCATACTCAACCCCCAGTCCTGCACAGTCAAATATGGACTCTGTCTACATGATGCCCCCTTCCCATGGCCCAAAGGTGAGCTCCCAAAGTCTATATCAAGTTCCATCAGGTCCGAGCGGATCCTCCACACAGATCCCACCAGGACCCCCTAAAAAGACCTCAGCTCTAGGCCAGAGACCATTTGAGCCATCTGCACAAGACATCTATCAGGTGCCCCCCTCTGTAGGGCTAAATAAGGCTACTGCGTCAGCTGGAGGTACTGCAACCGGCCAAGATGTTTACCAGGTACCCCCCTCCTGGGAGAGCAACACCAAGCCACTTGGAAAGGTAAGAAAGAGGAAGTCAGTGGTTTCAATCTGAAGAAATTGTGCTTAAATATATATGTAATATGCTTTTGAATTTATGTAAGCCGTCTGCCACTGCTGGGTTAGCTGCTGCGAGTAGGACTCCTCCAAAAACTCTACAGCAGGTAGTGCAGGCATGGCGTAGCTTTCTTCATCTTTTGGTTTAAATATTTGGGGAGTGATCAGCTGACTAAAGCTCTGATTGACTCTTTAACGCTAAAGGAAACAGTGCATGCTTCTTCAAACAGGTAAATTAAATCTTTTAGGACGACCCTGAAAAAAAGGAACACCTCTCCATCTTTCTCTTCCTTTGCAGTTTGATAAAATTTGTTTGTTTGATTTTTGAATGTCATGTTTTAAAATGCAAAATGTTTAGTTTAGTCACACAATGAGTCAGACAATAACATCCTGGGAGAAAGGAGGGCGTTACCAAGGGTTGGTTTGCAACCCAAGGTGAAGCACTATTGAACAACCCATTGGAAAGGTTGTGTAAATAAAATGTTTTCAAAGTTAGCTTTCAGTCAATTGCACAGCTCAGCATTTTAGCGGATGCTCTGTCCAGCAAGGGAGATGCTGTGTTGTTCCTGATTTTTCGCTGCTCTAGTGCCTTTTTTGTCAGAGGTAGGTTTCTGTAGATTTGCCTCATTCTGCCTCCTGCATGTTTGGTGCTTCTCCATCATCTTGCAGTTTTATTCCCTTGTTGGGAATCTCAACTGTCCCCCATTAAGTCAGACAGAAATGAGACATCAGTGAAATGCTAATGGGAAAATACATCTTCTATTATTTAAATACTGCATGAAATCCTGAAATTACAAGCAAGTGTATTTGTTTTTACCTTTAATGTAGGGGGTCATTATATATGCTAATACAGGTTAGTTGCTTTTAATTGGAAACCAGCTTTAGTAATCTATTCAAGCACGTCAGAAGCATCAACAGACCAGAACACACTGAATCTGATTCTGCGTTCGATCCAACAGAAAATCCTCCCTCAGAGGTCATGGCGTTTAGCATTGATTGAAAGTTAATGGGCAGGATTTCCTGCAGGGGGCAGCGTAACTCCGACTGAGATAGAGCCCAGGTCTATTTTAGTTGGACTACGCAGATATTCAGCAGCAATTTCATGGGTCTGTCAGGAAGAGAGACACAGTAACAAAGTAAAACACATCTGCTTTGGAGGAAAGTACTAAATCAATTCTGTGAATCTGACGGGGAAAGAGTCAGTCTGGAGTCGCACATCGTGTTTATAGTAAGCAGGACAGACTGGAGCAAAAACAATGAATGAAACATTAAAATAAAAAGCTTTTCCCATGATAGGAGTTCAGGAGGACAGAGAACGGATAAAGTAGTGATCGTCTTTGAGCCTCACAGAAACCAGAATAAGGAGGAGCAGACAGAGCAGGTCAGAGCAGCTTATCTCTCTCACCTCTTTATGGAAAAAAGAAAGAAAAACTTGGATAAACTTCTCAGATCTCTCTGAGAATCACCTCTCTGCCTCAGTCACCATGGAAACCGGCCCACAGAGTTTATTGCTGCGTTTTTCTGTTCTTAAGACGTAGATCTCATTATGTTTTAATAGATAAACGATCTCCATTTGTTCTGGTTCTAGATGCTGCACAGACTCGTTAAGTAGAGCTTTGCTTTATAGAATGCACTGCTGGGTTTTTATTACATGAACTTTTCATAATCTGATCCAATCAATTCAGTTTATTTCTATAGCGCCAATTCACATCATGTCATCTCAGGTCACCTTCTAGTTCACCAGATCATCAGGTCAGATTGATTCAAAGTTT